ATTGTGTCTTAGATGTTAGATATTCTGATAATGTCAGATTGTGTCTCAGATGTTCGATATTCTGATAATGTCAGATTGTGTCTTAGATGTTCAATATTCTGATAATGTCAGATTGTGTCTCAGATGTTCGATATTCTGATAATGTCAGATTGTGTCTTAGATGTTCAATATTCTGATAATGTCAGATTGTGTCATAGATGTTCGATATTCTGATAATGTCAGATTGTGTCTTAGATGTTAGATATTCTGATAATGTCAGATTGTGTCTCAGATGTTCGATATCCTGATAATGTCAGATTTCGTCTTAGATGTTCGATATCCTGATAATGTCAGATTGTGTCTTAGATGTTCGATATTCTGATAATGTCAGATTGTGTCTCAGATGTTCGATATCCTGATAATGTCTGATTGTGTCTTAGATGTTCGATATTCTGATAATGTCAGATTGTGTCTTAGATGTTCGATATTCTGATAATGTCAGATTGTGTCTCAGATGTTCGATATCCTGATAATGTCAGATTGTGTCTTAGATGTTCGATATTCTGATAATGTCAGATTGTGTCTCAGATGTTCGATATTCTGATAATGTCAGATTTTGTCTTAGATGTTCGATATCCTGATAATGTCAGATTGCGTCTCGTGGGAATTGCATGTAGTTAGAATGTTACATGTTGAGATTTAATTGTAATTTAATGAATCTAGATTGTTCATATATCATCCTGTGAGTAAAGATAGTAAAAAAAGTTGAAGATTTGTTTTCTTTGTTTGTTTGTTTGTTTGTTGAAATTCGTGTAAGGCTAATTAGAGGGCTATCTGTCTCTAGTTTTGGGCTGATAGACTAAAGGGAAAGCAACTAGCCAACACCACCAACCGCCAACCTTAGGGGGCTACTCTTTGCCAACGAAAAGTGGGATTGACCGCCACGTATAACGGCAGAAAGGTCGAATATGTTCAGTAATGGGATTCGAACCCGCGACCCACAGGTTCCACTAACCACCAGGCCAAAAATCTGATGAGAAAATGAAACTTGGAAAATGTGTAAATAGCAATTTCTTAATGATGTTTCTTAACATCTCAAACACATGACTTAATGGTGTTTCTTAACATCTCAAACACATGACTTAATGGTGTTTCTTAACATATCGAACACGTTACTTAATGGTGTTTCTTAACATCTCAAACACATGACTTAATGGTGTTTCTTAACATATCGAACACGTTACTTAATGGTGTTTCTTAACATCTGAAACACATGACTTAATGGTGTTTCTTAACATATCGAACACGTTACTTAATGGTGTTTCTTAACATATCGAACACGTTACTTAATGGTGTTTCTTAACATCTCAAACACATAACTTAATGGTGTTTCTTAACCTCGCGAACACATAACTTAATGGTGTTTCTTAACATCGCGAACACATGACTTAATGGTGTTTCTTAACATCTCAAACACATAACCTAATGGTGTTTCTTAACAGCTCGAACACGTTACTTAATGGTGTTTCTTAACATATCGAACACATGACTTAATGGTGTTTCTTAACATATCAAACAAATGACTTAATGGTGTTTCTTAACATATCGAACACATGACTTAATGGTGTTTCTTAACATCGCGAACAAATAATTTAATGGTGTTTTTTAACATATCAAACACATGACTTAATGGTGTTTCTTAACATATCGAACACATGACTTAATGGTGTTTCTTAACATCGTGAACAAATGACTTAATGGTGTTTCTTAACATATCGAACAAATGACTTAATGGTGTTTCTTAACATATCGAACACATGACTTAATGGTGTTTCTTAACATATCGAACAAATGACTTAATGGTGTTTCTTAACATATCGAACACATGACTTAATGGTGTTTCTTAACATATCGAACACGTGGCTTTTGAATGCAGATAACTTAGAATAATAACAAAGACAGATATAGGTGTGTAAGAGCTTTTTTCTCCCCCCCCTTTAGTGGTAAGACTGGGGGATTACAGCACCAAAAATCGCACTTCGACACCCATGGTGTGAAGAGTACAGTTAAATTTTTGTATAGCAACAACATTAAAAAATGCTTGAATCTGTTTAGCAACAACAGTAATAACTTGCTTGTAGCTGTATAGCAACAATAGTAGAGACATGATTGAAGCTGTGTAGCAACAACAGTAATAAATTGCTTGAAGCTGTGTAAAAACAACAGTAAATACTTGCTTGAAGCTGTACAGCAACAACAGTAGAGACATACTTGAAGTTGTGTAGCAACAACAGTAGAGACATGCTTGAAGCTGTGTAGCAACAACAGTAAAACATACTTGAAGCTGTGTAGCAACAACAGTAAAAACATACTTGAAGCTGTGTAGCAATAACAGTAAAAACATGATTGAAGTTGTGTAGCAACAACAGTAAAAACATACTTGAAGCTGTGTAGCAACAACAGTAAAGACATACTTGAAGCTGTGTAGCAACAACAGTAAAAACATACTTGAAGCTGAGTAGCAACAACAGTAAAGACATACTTGAAGCTGTGTAGCAACAACAGTAAAAACATGCTTGAAGCTGAGTAGCAACAACAGTAAAGACATACTTGAAGCTGTGTAGCAACAACAGTAAAAACATGCTTGAAGCTGTGTAGCAACAACAGTAAAAACATACTTGAAGCTGTGTAGCAACAACAGTAAAAACATGCTTGAAGCTGTGTAGCAACAACAGTTAAATCGACCACCCTAAGTTAGAAGATGTGTAAACTACGTACGAAACGTGTCTTAAAACGACAAAATAAAATGGCTTTAAAAACGGCTGAAGCTTCGTTCTGAGAACTGTAAACGAGGCGAACTAATGTAACAGTTTTCTGTTATAATATATTCTTATCTCTCGTGTATGGCTTAATGGTTAGCCGGACTATAAAACTGGTGGATCACGGTTCGTGTCCTGCTTTCGCAAAATCGTACTCTTTACTTTCAGGTCACGAGAGTGACGGTCGGTTCGTTCTCTACCATTAGAGAAGCCCAAGAGTTGCACTAGAGTGACGGTCGGTTCGTTCTCTACCATTAGAGAAGCCCAAGAGTTGCACAGACGGTCGGTTCGTTCTCTACCATTAGAGAAGCCCAAGAGTTACACGGTCGGTTCGTTCTCTACCATTAGAGAAGCCCAAGAGTTACACGGTCGGTGCTCTTGACTAGCTGCCTTCCCTTCTGTTCAAAATTATGGGTGGCTGTTACAGGTGTGTCCTAGCGTGGGTTTGCTCGACAATCCAAAACAAAGAATTTTTCTGAAATAAATCAGAGACAACGCTCTTTTGTTCTGAAACTATATGTAGTTGATAAATCAACTCTATATCTGGATGTTTATGTTTTTTTCAGACTAACGCTACGGTTGTCGTGTCACATGTCGTTTCGCCACTATCCGCTGGACACTCAACACTGCTATGTCCTCGTGGGTCCGTGTACGTATTCGAATTTTTTTTTTTTTTTTGAATCAGAGACTTATCATATTTTAGCTCTAGCAGTAACCTCTATATCTCTGGTGTTATAGCATTATTTACAGGTAATCAGAGATTTATCATATTTTA